AGTAGATCCAATCTGATTGGTGTGACATACATACATCTCTCACTCACTCACTCACTCACTCACTCACCCATTGACCTGTCCATAACATACCCGACGCGCTGACTAAGAGGTATTTTTTTTACAAAAAAATAACTCAAAAATGATCAGGTCAGGCCACGATTTGGGAAAAATTAACAGTAGCAGTAAAAATTGTGAAAAAAGTATATCGACTGGAAAATTTTCATGCTAATGTCCTTATGCTACTGAACAGTTCCATGTGCATAGAGATAAAAATTATAATACTGTTACTTGAAACTCCTAGTCCAATAAGTCTTCTCCATGATCCATCTCTGAGCTTTTTGCTTTAATTTCTTTCTTTTTCTCTTTTCAGTTGTTAGTTAAATGTTCAGAACTCAGAATTTTTATTGAAACATTGTAAGAAAGTCGTAATTTTCAACTCATGCTACAACTTTGCAGACTCTAGTCAGGAGAAGGCTCAGAACAGAAGGCTCTAGAGAGAAGGTTCAGAACAGAAAATCAACAGATTCTTCTGCTTCCCCCAAAACATCAAAGAAGGTAATTTCCATGACATATGCATTTCTACCTTACTGTAATTATGTACTGTCTACATGTCAGGGGCTTCATTAACATTTTCAGCAGAAGGGCAACTGGTTTTCATAGGTAGGCAAAACTTTTTTAACTGAACTTCTTTATAAAAAAAGTCTTTCCTCTAGATGATCAAACTAGGCAGGCAAAATTATCCTCACAGCCACTCAGTTCGCCCTGTGCCCAGTCCTGAATGAAACTCTGCATGTGGCACCTAATGTATTCTAAATAATATATATATATATAAAATGATTAATGTGTCAGCTTAAGTTTTTCAACTGGAACATAACCTGTCCCTCACTTCCTGATTATTCATATTGTCATTTAATTAGAATAAAGTACCACAGTGGCTACACTTGCTCATTTTATTCAATCCATCCAAAAAAAAAAAAGAAACTAACAAAAATGTATTAAAAATGTACTGATCAGAGTTTATGTGGTGACTTTTTTGTCATTTTGATTCCATAGCTTTCTTGCAAATGTTCGATAAGAGAATATTTATTATAATTAAATAATCTTTTGCTAAAGACAAATTTGCGAGTAAGCTGATTTAAGGCATGATGTTTCTTATTAACAGTCTGAGAATGTTCCTTGCACATGATAACAAAAGAAGGGTTCTAGCAAAAACCATGTTGGAAACGCAACAGACAAATCCAGTTGCACACAAAGAAGTGGAAGTGCCAAAAAATACTGCAGGGATTGTTTGTTTGTTTTGTTTTATTATTTCCTCCATTCATTATTATATCACAAAGATATTTTTTATATTATAAAGTTATTATTATATTACAAGATATCTTTCTTTAAAGATATTTATTTAAAGATATTGAATAAAGCAAGAAATGGAGAAGGGCACAATATAGTAAGGCCCTAATACTGTTTAATGAACCCCAAGTTACAGTTGGCTAGTTTCTTATTAAGAATATCAATAATCTTTGTTAGCTCAGTGGTATTTTATATGTAGTTTATCAGTGCAGCTTCTATGTATATTACTGCACCTTGTTCACTCGTGAAGCTTTTAAAGGTACACTGTATATTGTTCTCATTCTGTCCTTTGATTTGCTAGCATTATTGCCTGAGTGACCCCAATTACACACTGTTGCATCTTAACGCTGGCCTCCACAGACTAAAGACACTGTAAAATACTAAATAAAAGTCAATCACAAATTAAGATCGTGATTCAGTTTTTAGTGGGAAAAAAAAAAGAATCACGTAACTCACTGATTGTTTTTCTACTAGCAGATGAAAGTGCCAGGGAAAAAGTACAAGACAAAGAACTTGTCTTATCAGATAGTGAGACTGATGGAAAAAGTAAGTACAACATTGACAAAGAGTTTAATTGTAAACTACAATGAAGGACTACATTATTTTGTAAACACCTCTGCTCATCCAGATCTACGTTCCTGTATAGGCACAATAGGCAGTTGTTGAATTTAAGTAATCAGTACAGCTGACTCCTGACAGATACTGCAAATCCACAAATTAGTGCTTCCCCTCAAATAAGCGCCCCCTTTGAATAAGCGCCTCTTCTGTCGGCCAAAATTTAAAATAAGCGCCTCCCTTTGAATAAGTGCCCCCCCCTATTTTATGGAAGATTACTGAGACCTCAAAGGATGTATAGTTTATCGACTCATTCAAACACTGCATGTTGACCATCACAACAGATCTCACATAGTTCTTCAAAATCAACTGAAGGGAGAATAGAAGAATATACTTCGAGTTAGGGTGGTCAACTTCATTGCCATGAGTCAGACGAGTGGAAACACGAGTCTGACAAGGCAGAGGCTATATAGCGTCATACGTAGTGTGAAGGTTTATGCAGCAGGTTACCCAGAAAAATTATCAGATTTTCTCATCTCAATTTTGCGTAAGTGAACCTTTCTGGTGCTGTGAGATTTTTTTGGCCATATTAGGATGCAGGTGGATGTTGTTGATATTTGGGATGAGCCAATCAGAACACTTTTTTTCCTTTGGGATGTCACAAGGCTTCAAAGCGTGAACAAGATTATTCTAGGTTGTTTTTCAGTGTTTAGTCTTTCTGGCGCGGGATTAATCGTTCATTTCGGTTTATTTGCCTGAAATTTTGTTTATTTAAGGTGTACAAAACTTGGATTTCTTATGTTTGAATCGCATAATTGATAGGCTCATCAAGACCTGAGTTGTTTTCTGGAATGGACTCGAGTGTGTGTTGTTTATTCGAGCCAAAGCGCTTTTTCATTGTCAATTGTCAAAGGAGTCAAAGGAGCTCAAATCGAACCAACGAGTGCACTTTGTGAGTAGAGTTCTGAAAACTTCAAACAAAACAAATAATAACATTTGTGTCTAGATACCCAGCAGCCGGGAAGTGTTTCCAGAAAACTAGCCTACCCAGCAGTCTGAAATTAATGTAGAAATCTCACAGAATAACTCATTTAATTCTTCTTACAGCTATACAGTAGATCTTTGTTTAGCAATTTCAAGCAATTCCAACTATTGTTTTAGCTTTTTACGAGCTTGGGCGTACCATGAAATCTTGAGGTTTTGACATTGAAAATTTTCGTGCTCTGACTCTGGAGTCAACTCTTGTAGAATAATATCTTCAAAAATCACAGTTGAAACCGGCTCTGAGAGTACTCAATATTTGTTGAGAAATGCCAAGCGACTCTAAATAATGTTTTGGTTTTGCAGTGGATGAATTGTCTAAGCCTCGGCATACTATAGAAATCTTGACTCGTGGTCACGGGCATGGTTGTTCCAAAAACTAGATACCCGGTAGTCAAAAATTCATAGATAATCAATTCCAGAAAAAAATCATTGTTAGTATCAATTGAAACCTCCCGAGAGTATTTGAGTATATTTTTTATCATTGTTCAGAAACATCAAGTGATTTTATACAATGTTTTTGGGTTTGCAAGTCACAAATTGTCTCAGCTTTGTGTGACTCACCGGCCTGTTTTTTCAAAACACTATTTACCCGGCAGTCAGAAATTATTTCCATTTTTCCTCCGTAATTTCCATTTGAACCTGCTGAGAATGCTTGACCTCTACGTAGAAATACCATGGGATTTCAAACTTATCAGGCTTCTACATTGAATTGTTCACTTGGCCTCGGCATGGAAGCACATAACACGACGAAAGTTTGCCAAAGTTTGTGTGACATTGTTGATAGGTATTGAGTGACCGTGTAGATTTGCAGTTCTTAGAACTGTTGGCTAAGCTATGGTAAAAAGCAGCTTATTCAATATTCGATGGCCAGTTTTTAAAGTATGTTTATGATACGAATTTAAAAAAATAAAACATTCAAAATAGTCAAGTACTAGCTCATGGTTTAAAATTTTTCACTTCCAGGTATCTGGTTTTTGATCAACCATGGCTGTGTGTTGAGATTGAGATTTCATATGTAGTGCTGAAGCTAAGAGAATTTGTCCGCTACAAAACCAAAACATTATTTGAAGAAGCTAGTCATAAAAGGGGATAAGTGATGATTTTGGTTGTT